TCATGTAACATATACTTAGAATTGATACCTATTTCGACCTGTTTTAACAGATCCATAACGATTGAATGAAAGTGACTGAGGCCATCAAAGTACTATACTTAGCATCTCTGACATTAGAATTAAAGCATATTATTGTAACTTTGATCATAAGAGTTAAAAGAAAAATTTTAACTTCAACATATTTACCGAAATATCAGAAACCTACAATACTACTGCTGATCGTGATCGATCAATACACAAAAAAATTTGATTACATGTTATACAAGCCACAAACTGCGACCTAGCCTGACCTACAGCTAGCTCTAATTCGTATGAATTTTCTTTCTTTCTCTTTTGCTGTTTATCCACACGAGTTGCTCAACACTGATCTTGAATTAAAATTTGCTCACGTAAGATACATTTAGCAAGTTTAGTAATAGAAGAAGGTGTGGGTGTGAATCTTCTTTACACCCACGCCCACGCCCACATCTACACCTACATTCTACATCTGCATTCACGTTCACTTAGTATTGATAAATTCAATTTTAAACGAAGAAACTGAATACTTCGTATAGAGTGTTAAGTAATACCATTAATCTTCATTTTAAATTAAGGTAAATGGTTCACCACTACTTAAAACAGCTTCTAGATTTACAGAAAAATATGCCGAATGAATACAAATTTTCATTCACTTTTTGATACAATATTACTTTTCTGTAACATCTTATTTTGTTGAATTTTAAATATTGTCAATCATTACTTTCTCTTCCTTGAAAAAGAAAAGGAAAGAACCAACGTGTGTGTATGTGGGCACCATAACAATGGTTGCTCTGTTTTCTATTGGTACGATATTTTATTAAAAATCTCTCCTTTGCGACGCACTCTGTAACGGAAGCAATAATTATTGACATTGTTGGCGATTGTTAGTAGTAACGATGAAAAAAAATAGAATTGCTACACAAGCAATTTATTTTATTTTTTATTTTTCCAAAGAATGTCAGATACGAACATTCTGGCAAATTGTTATAACTAAGATGGGTGCAGGTTGTTGTTGTTGTTGTTCGAAGAAAGATCAACGAATATCACCTGAATATCGTCCAATATCTCAATATATCCAGATTGGCATTAAAACAACCAATCCTCTGACACTCATCGAGGGTTATCTCAATGAACCAGTTTTGTCTCTTGAAGAATCTCTTGAACCTTTCAACGGTAAAATTGATCAGTTATCTTACTATATCAAAGAAGCGAAAATGAAATGCCACTATCCATCAGAACATAATCTTAATCATGATGAATCAGCTGCTATCTATATTTATACAATGAAATGGGGTGATAGGTGTCTTTATGATCATTTGCAAGCAGCATGGAATTCGAATGATAGATCTACCCTCAAACCGTGGTTCAAGTATCTCAAATTATTCAAAGGCGCACTTGATAAATTACCTAGTGCAAAGGCAGAAATTTGGCAAGGAGCACCATTCGATGAAAAGCTCAAAGATCAACTCAGTTCAGAGCCATTATCAGTCTATTCTTCTATGTGCTCATGTTCATCATCGGTCAATGAAATTATGGATAATCTTCAAAAAACTGCTGGTAAGAAGATAATGCTTGTTGGTTATCAATCTGTAAATGGAAAATTGGTGACCGGTTATACAGCTAATAACTTGCAGGATGCAATAATGTGGCCGGGCACAAAACTTGGAGTATCAAAATATGTTATGACCGATGCTTATCATTCATGGATTCTGCATGCAGTCAAACAGATCGGTGAGTATTTATAGGATTGAAACCATTAAAGTCTTCATACTTACTATGCATTGTACACAAAATCAATAGTCTGGCACTTTTCTGTGCTCATTCCATAATTTGTTATTGTTTTTTTTTCGTTCTCTTCTTTGTCATTGAAATCTTTTATTAGACTGGGAATGTTGATTTTTCATTTTTTTTCTATTAATATGTAATTCTAGATGTAAAATAAAGTTCTTTTCTTTATAAACTCACATTAAATTATGAAAATATATATTTAGATCATCTTCCTGGATCGATGAAAAACAACGTTATTACATCTCAGAAACACTTCAAGTGTCCATACAAACGTTGTACCAATCGTTGTCCTGGTAATCATAAAACTAATTATTGTCTTAGGTTTGTTAGCCGTTTTCATCACTGTGAGCATCATTGTAGTCCTTGTCGAAGTTGTGACAAGTGTGGCCAACTTAATTGTAATCTATGTAAATGTTATAAATGTGAGGGTTTTTATTGTGTTAAATGTTGTTTTAAATAAATAGTGTTGAAATTA